CGGGTGGGAGCCAGGTGAATGTACGGCTCCCAGCAGCCGAGGGGGGGCGGGCGGCAGGAGGAGGCAGAGGGCGGCGGAGGAGGAGCCCCCCAGCAGCAAGCGGCGAGCAACTGACCGCGGCCTTCTGACCAGGACCGGAGCAGGGCCCCAAGCCCCCGGGCCTGGCGGGGGACACGCTTCTCCCCACACCCGGTGCCTCAGCAGCTCCAGCAAGCGGACCCGAAGGTCGAGAGGTGAGTGCACCCCATTTTTGTCTCCTGGCTCGGGGTCCACTAGAATCGAGACTACTGCAGTGTCCTTCGTCCGTCCTGTAAGTGGGACCCCCACATACACACGCATGCAGACCAGATTCCCACTACTCCCCTTCTCTATGCCTTCCCAACACCCAGGGTCTTTGGAATTGGTTTTAACTGGGAGGAAAGGTAGCCAAGGAACTACGGCCGCCCCCCAACCCTTGGCGGAGGGTCCCCAGAAACTTTTTCTGCACTTCTCTTAGCATAGACAGGCGGCTCCGGGATGGAGAGAGGGTGAGGTGGCGCTGAGCGTTCCTCAGTCTCCGTGCCTTTAGGGGGAGACCCCAGACCCGACCGAGTTGAGGGAATGGAAACGCTGACGGACTCTAACTAGGACAACGCGTCCCCCCCCTCCGCGCCCCCTGGCGCCGTGGGTTGGACCCAAGCCAGTTGTATGAGGGGGGTGGGGGGCGGCACAGGAGGAGCTGCGGCTTGGGGGAAAGTTACCGGCTGGACTATTCGGTTTCTTGCGCTTCCAGAGCCGCGCTCCCTCTCCAGCGGTAGTGAGGCTCAGCGACAACCTCTGAACGACATAGAACGACCCCTCTCTCCCCTGCCCCTCAGTCCCACTCGCTTCCTTCAGGCTCCAGTCTCGCCGCCACCTTTTCAAAACCAGCTCATGCCCCCAGAACCGGAGAGCGAGGGGTGGGTGACTAGGAAGAATTCTCGCACCTACCACTCATCCTCCCACCGGCTCCGGCGCACCTGCCTCTCCCCAGAGTGGGGGTCTCTACTGTGTTGTAGAATCTATAGTGCGCGCCGCTGGTAGAGGGCTGCCATTCAAAAGGGTGGGGGGCGCCGCTTTCAATTTCCAGCTTTCTCTCCCTCCTTCCACCCCATCCCAAGTAAGAGAGCGACGTGTCCCGGCCAGAACGAGGGGG